AAAGTTAGGTCGCGGTAGACCTCCCCATCGGTGTCGTACGGCTCGAACTCTGCTTCTTCGCGGAATGTGGCTGTGTATTTCATCTTGTTAATGACGCTGTAGTCGTTGTGCTACCTCAAGCCTCAGGACCATTCTGCCACGATGAAGTCCCTCAATTTTCCCAATATTTCCACAATCTACATTGACGGCCTGGGTTTTCTCCGCTCTCCAACTACCAATTTGGAGAACACCTTCTCCAATGGATCCTGGTTTATCTTGAATCGGTTCGACACTAGTTCGGTTTCTCTACTCTCTCAAACTGCCAATTTGGAGAACACCTTCTCCAATGGATCCTAGTTTATCTTGAATGGGTTCCACACTAGTTCGGTTTCTCTACGCTCTCCAACTGCCAATTTGGAGAACACCTTCTCCAATGGATCCTGGCTTACCTTGAATGGCTTCAAAGTTTCGTCAGGGTAATCCGACAACAGTTCGCTCATTACATCGACGAAATTCTGCATGGTCTGCCGGGTGTCGTTGGCAAATGCGTCCAACTGTAAAAACTCGCCGAAATAGGTGTCCACCTCTTTCAGCTTATTTTGTGTCTCCGCCCAGTTCTCTGTACTTATTGACACCCGATGGAACGCGTTTACGAATTTTGTCATACTCCTAATGAATTCGCATATTTAGTTCGCCAGGGAGGTGTCAACGGGCAGCATCTTAGCTTTGATTGCTCCCTGGATGTATGACACTACAGCAGGCCGGAATAAATCAATTGTTGCGTACGTGCCATACGTTGCGGTGCGAATTGGAATGGCTACTCTTAAGGTCCAGAACCGAGATTTGGCATGGCGCGTGTTCACCATTACCGAGATGAAGACTTTCACGCCGCCCTCGATAGGTAATCCGTTTTGGGAAATTTTATTCTTGAATGCAGTTATGATGGTAATCGAAGAGGAGGCGAATCTGATATCTGCTGCAATCCCGTCGTTTTCTATTGTAAACGCCATCTATAAATTTCTTCGACATCTGCACACTAGCCCTACCTCGATCGCATATGAAGGCCCTAACGTCAAGGCCAATATCCTCGGCAAGTTCAAATATTTGATTTAACGTTTTGAGTCAAGTTCAATTTGAGGGAGGTGCAGCGAGGGTACCAATCTAAAATTACATTGAATTCTGTTAAAAGACTCTTTGCCGCAAATACAAGGACGGCGTCATGTTTTGAGCTCCTCGAACATTGCTCGTTTGTATACTAGCAACCATGGAGACGGTCCTCTGCCCGAGAATATACATTTTTTTGATTTGTGAAGACGTCGTTACAGCACACTAGTACGATTCTGTCGCGGACAGTTAAGTTGTCTACGAACTTTCCTAGCTTCTCCCTCCTGTTCTCCACTGCTTCAGGACCACTAGCGGCATCAGCCAGGTTGACGCTCACTGCTTCCGGGCTCGCTTCACGCCGTCGTTTTTCCTGCGCAAGTGCGGCGGCCGCAGGAGTCGACGGCCTATCGTCATTTTTCTGGATTGATTGCAGAACACCGTCTACGAACGACGTGAAATCAGTTAGTTCGATGTCGTTCGTTTTTCCCGTTGATGTTGGCGGGGCGGCGTCAGCCAGGTTGATGCCCACTGCTTCCGGGCTCGCTTCACGCCGCCGTTTTTCCTGCGCAGGCGCGGTGGCCGGTATGACCTCGGCGGCCCGACTATATTGAAGCACCTATGGTATGCGCAAGTTTTCGTTGAGGTGGACAATGCTTTTTCCAATGGTTGCAGACGCTTCCTTGTTGCTTTTAGTTTGCGTATTACTTATTGCGCGGACTCCTGCTCCTGCATCTCCTGGCTTACCTTTTCGGCTAGTTCCTGGTACTGGCCGAATTGTGGCCCCGCTTGCTGACGCCACAACTTCGAGTAGTCCGGGAGATGTCGAGAGAGGGCATAATTGCATTTTTCGTTAAAATTTGTCATATTTTAATCTTAACATATATAAAAATTTAGAGGTGGGAGGAATTGTTCGATGGTCAACTGCAGCAAAAAAAGCAATGCGCGTTTGCGCCTGCAAAATTTCTGCTGGTTTCCAGAATCCGTTAGCTGCAAAAGGAGCATATATGAAGAAAGCACAGAGTTGCTTTCCTATAAATAATAAAATCGCACTACTTTTTGTGTGAATTTCGTTTAAACATCGTCAATAATGGTCTTATGGGTCGTACTACATCTACTTGAATAACAATTTTTATTGCCAAAAAAATTTTTAAAATAAAAAATTTAGTAAATTTATAATGCATCTAAATAACTATCTTTTTTGTTTTTTTGTACTACTTTGATTTACATCTCTTCATTTTGGCGAAATACAACAAGTGTGCGCCGCCACAGTTGTTGTTGTATGCCGCGACTAAGAGTGCAGGTGTTCAATAAGTTCTAAAAAAAAAAACATGAAAAATTGATTACAAGTAATGAGAAGCATGGGGGTACGCACGCTCACGTTTAAATTAAAAAAAAAAAATTTGTAGAACATATCAAGTGGATGGAGCTTCAATCTACTTTATGATCAAGTAAATATATATTATTTTTCTTGCTGCTCAATTATTTTCTGACTGAAATTGATTACAAATCAATGAGGAGGGTATGGAAATTTGAATGAAAAACGTGAAAAATTGATAACAAATCAATGAGGGGAATATGGAAATTTGAATGAAAAACATGAAAAAAGAAAAGAAACGTATGAAAGAAGAAAAAATCAAAAAGCATATTCCCCAAAAAAAAAATTTTACGATCGCAAACAAAATGCGACCTAAGTGGCAATGTTTTCCTTCACTAATTTTTTATCGATTACAGTTTTTTTTTTTCACAAAATGATCGAATTGTGGACTTTTGCACTTTATAGTATCGATCACGAATAGCAAAAAAAAATTTTTGATTGGAAACTACTACAGTAAAAACTATTGCCTAAAAAGATCCTTATCGCAATTTCTTTCGCACTGACTGAAAAGAGTATTTTTTTGATAATATCTCTATACTAAAGGAAATGTTTTGCAATACTATTACACGTAATTTATCACGCACAAATATCGTAAGTTTTGCGGATATGAATACATTAGACTAAAATTTCTAATAATTTGCATACCACACATTTCTTCATTGACGCAGTTGCACCGTTGCAAAAGTACCTTAGTGATAGCAGAACACAATAATGAAGTTCTTAATCCAATTACACTGAATACGATGGCGGCGGCCAAAAAGATCGGTGGCGATGTTACAGTTTTGGTGGCAGGCACAAAATGCGGCCCTGTAAGTAATGCTTATAATTTTTGGAAACTTAATTCAATGTCTCTTTAGGCCTCGGAAGCTGTTGCAAAAGTGGAAGGGGTTGGCAAAGTGCTGGTAGCCGAAAATGCTGCTTTTAAAGGCTTTACACCAGAATCTCTGACTCCATTGCTGTTGGCTGCTCAAAATCAATTTAAATTTACACACATTTTAGCTGGCGCTACAGCTTTTGGCAAAAATTTACTGCCGCGTTTAGCAGCCAAATTAGATGTTTCACCTATCTCCGAAATTATTGATGTAAAAGCCGAGGACACATTTGTACGTACTATATATGCAGGCAATGCTATTCTAACATTGCGCTCGAAAGATCCCGTTAAAGTCATAACGGTGCGTGGCACTAATTTTGCTGCAGTAGCTGCTGCTGGAGGCAGTGGTAAAATTGAGAACGCACCATCGGGTGATTTCGCAAATTCTCTTAGTGAATTTGTAAGCCAAGAACTCACAAAATCTGATCGACCTGAATTAACCAGTGCCAAAGTAATCGTTTCCGGCGGTCGAGGCTTGAAATCAGGAGATAACTTCAAATTATTGTACGATTTAGCCGATAAGTTTGGAGCAGCCGTAGGTGCTTCGCGAGCTGCTGTTGACGCCGGCTACGTACCCAATGATTTGCAGATTGGACAAACGGGTAAAATAGTAGCACCTGAATTGTATATCGCCGTGGGAATATCGGGCGCAATACAACATTTGGCTGGCATGAAAGATTCAAAAACGATTGTAGCTATCAATAAAGATCCCGAAGCACCTATCTTCCAGGTTATATTTTTATTACGTAAATATTTAATTGTATACATTGCTTTCCTCTTCCAGGTTGCTGACGTAGGGTTGGTTTCAGATTTGTTTAAAGCAGTGCCTGAACTGACACAAAAATTGTAAAAGTGCATCCTATTATTGTAAGTTGAAGTCATTATCGAAGTGGTATAAGTGTGTAAATAGCATTTGATTGATTAAAAAAATATATAATAAATAAAAAATTGCTTAAATTATTTAAGATAGATAGAATTACTTTATAACCCGAAGCTGCTTTTGGATAAATATGATTGACAAAATATTTCGAGAAGAGTTTTTTTAAAATTTGGTTTCTAATATTGTCACCGATAATGCCCTTAGCAATTTGTTAACATTCAAGTTATCAAAGTTGTGTATACTTAAGAGTATATATTTTCTTAAGCACTACTTAGACCCATAATCCAATCCACTCACGGTAGTAATGATATCAGAAAATCTACTCAGAGTGAGTAACTGAGAGTTAACAAACTTAAATGACACATAATTAATGGATCAATATAACGGCTGATAACTCTCGCAAGATAACAATGCTTATGATGAAAGAAACAAATTATGCTCTTCCTGTTAAGTAACTAAATTTAAAAACAAGTTTCGCTTTCTAATACAAAGTAAAGAGTAAATAAATCAAAATGACTTGAGAGAAATACTACAAGCTTCTAATCAAAACTGGGTGCTAAAATAGTCTTTGTATATGTATATATATACGTGCCCTAATGAAAAAGCAAAGTCTTCATATTATTCCTCTTAACGTGCATAGCTGAGAAACTCGAAATTTTCGAGGGATTATTAGATAAACGTATTCATTGTGCATAAGATTATTTCATTTAATACTAAGTTGCGATAGTTCACTCCGACAAGCAGAAGTGGTTGGTTATTATATCTGATTACGCACAAATATAATATAAATGGAAGCGCTTTCTGTATGTGTCGTTGGTGCAGGAATGGCCGGACTTTCTGCCTTAAAAAATTCTTTGCAATCTAATTTGAATGCAACATGTTTCGAACAATCTACCCATTTGGGTGGTACCTGGTTTTACCAAGAGGAGCAAGATGTAGCTTTCGGCGAAAATGTGCATAGTAGCATGTATCGGGACTTACGGTAAGCAATCGTATGTATGCACAAATATGCGGAACAAAAAAAATTATTAAAAGCTATTTATCAAATGAAACTTGACTTAAAAAAGTTGTGCCAAATAAACATAAAAGCTCTCTTTCTGAGAATTTCGTTTGTGCAGTTTAAAAAAAAATATTTTTTTAAAAATATATATATTCGAGAATGATGTATTAAGTTTTTTAAAAAATTATCAGCTGATATTAGCTTTGCAAACAATTACTCACTCAAGTTTATTTATTTACTTTGAGATATAAATGAATTATTTTGGAATATGTGACGGAATGAATTTGATTGAAAACTATAATAAATACTACGACTTGGACAGCATCACAAAAACCCGTTATATCCTTGCATAGTAATCCCAAACGCTGTCGTATTATAAAGTGAATGCAACTGTGAAAATAAAAACGTATTTTTTGATTTGAAGTTCGACTAGAACTTGCCGACTTAACCTCTTAGCACCTACTGCGAGACTTTAGACGATTTCATGAGCAGCATGAGCAGACTTTGTTGGCAGCTTGAGCTATGTTTTTGATTAGATTTGTGTAAACTAGATAAGGCTAATCCCGCTTAGAAGAAAAGAAAGAGCGGCTCCAATTATTTTCCTTCAATTTCTGCTGCATCGCAATTTCAATTTTTTAACTTTGATATATCCCCGCCCGATTCGTTATCATTTCGGTGTTTCATAGTTTAATTTGGTATCAAAGTTCAAGTACCTTTATATTGATTATCCTTTTCAAAATCAACACTTTAAGGAGAGAATGACAAACGTACTTCAAAAAAGAATGTTCTACATGTAAAGTGTTGTACTCTTTTTTGCAGTTCTCTGATTCGCTTTTTAAATTAAATTTATTTACCGAATAACATTTTGTACTCTATATTATTTGTGGTACAGGATATGTTGAGGTTATGCGGACGAATGTACGTCATAACAAGAAGCTATTAACGTAATGTTTGTCCATATAAATAATAAGAATAAAAGAGCAAGGAGTTAAAATTTTTACTAATTAGCAGCGTTACTACTGTTATTGATTATAGAAATGGAAGAAGTATCTCATATAAAATAATCTCCCACTTTGAATGTTGAACGAAATGTTGGGCCATCTTTTTATTTACTTGTCTCTGTTATTATTAAGAGAATGATTGAACGACTGCGCTAGGCGAAGTGGTGTAGAGTATCGAATTGTCGGCCCTATCCGACTATAGCACTCTTAGATGTTTTTTTTATATTTTGATGTAAATGAATTTTAAAGTACGGCGAAAGTACGCCGTCGCTTATTAACTTGTCTAACGAAACAAATTGAATTAAACAAATCAATTCTCTCGCTAGATTACACGGCTTGGTCATCATTTTTCTTCTTTCAGCGTAAGGTTGCGATCTTTGTTTTATTTTAATAAGTGCATACAAATTTTAATTAGCTTTGCTAATTAGGGAAGTACCAACGGCTAACGGCAAACGGCTTAACATAGCGATAATCTTAATGTTTTGTTATGCGTTTTAAGATCTGTTTTATATAGAAAGTCGATTAGTCGCTCAATTTTGGATTCTTTCTTTTGCATCTAGCTGGATAAAATTGGAAATTCATCTAAATTATCTTGTCCGTAGACAAAATTTGATAAAGGATTTAGTGCTTATGTAATAATCACTTAGTGGAACTATTGAGATTATTTTTTAAATTTGTTTTGCGTATCTGCGATTACGTTGCGGCATTTTCGGTGCATGATTATGTTACCGTTAGAAAAGACGTTGTTTTAAAAATACAGTATGTTTTACTTAGCGCCCATTTGTGCGCGAGCCGTATAATAAAGCATCAATGCGAAACAGATACTTGAATATGTTCAAATGTGAAAGTATATTATAGATAGGTAATTAAGGTTTGTGCACCGATCACCTCAATTTAGTGTACCATAATAATAACGTCTTTTTTAACTAGCGACAGTATTTCTGGTCTTCTACGAAGATATCTGCACAAAAGTTTCAAGAACCTTATGAGACATTTGAGCTACATTTTTGATATCGATTGAATTTTGCATTTTTCCTTTTTATATATGTAACTAACAAATGTAAGTGAATTGCTCTCAAACTATCTTCTGCTCTAATTATAAATGATCAATTACCGTGTAGTGGTAACGTATTGTAAGGATGTTTGATGGCAATTTAGTATAGTGTGTAGCGTGACAGAGGATTTCCTATGAATCCTATGCCTGTGTGTATAGTTTCCTAACTGCACGGCTGTTTCCACCAAGATTATCATTCTTTTAACAGCCAAAGTACATTTGGCAAAGAGTATCGTTCTCGAATTAAAAAATTCAAATATTAATTTTTTTGATGCTCCTAATATGTCAAGACAAGCTCGACTTGGAAAGTTTGAAATTGACTTGATTTTCTTTACTGATATTTGGTTGCTTATGTACTACATTTTTGTTTATTTAAAGTATTAAAGTCCGATGCCAGTATTTACTCCAAGTCGTGCAGTTTAGCTGGGTACAAACTGAAGGGGATCAGACTCAAGTACTTACCTTGTGAACGACCATGTCTTCAACTCTCTCTTCACCTGCAACTTTCTCTGTCTGCACACGTTGCGAAAACACACTTAGATAAAAAGTTCAAGGTCTACAGACGCATTTTGAAGGGGACTGAAAAGTTTAGAAGAACTCTTTATCAAGTTAACATGATCTTAAGCTTTGCTAATATATAGGAAAAGCATGACGACTTTTTTTTATGACCTTTTTTCGGATACGCTATAAAAAAGCACACTTCATTGACACACGTTCACAGATTTTTCAGTTTGTCAAGAAGTCCATTAGTCCCTTCTTAACCATGAGATTGATAATTTCTATGAATGCAGATATTAGCGAAATTGGTCTGAATTTACTTAAATCATTTAAGTCTTTACCTACCTTAGGAGCGGGAGCTATCGCAAATCTAAGGGTATAAAGTTACTAGACCAGCAGTTATTAATTGCATGCACGAGGAGAGTTAAGCTTCCTCCGGACAGTGTTCTGACCATATCAACTGTAGCTCTTCGTGGAATTTAAGGCGCCCGGTGTAGTGTTATGCTTTCAACGAGCTCACCGTTTGTTTTGTTTATCTTTCTTTTTATTTTGTGTGTAAGCGCACGCTACGCTATGCATATAATACAATATTCAGTTACTTGAGATATAAATTTTTTTATTAAATATCCTTCTTTCAGCACAAATTTACCCAAGGAGATAATGGGCTATCTAGATTTTACGTATTCTAAGCAGTCAAAAGAATCATTTATTAGCTCAGATGAAGTTCTAAAATTTTTAAATTCTTATGCAGATCACTTTCACTTACGTGATCATATCAAATTTCAACATAAAGTTTTAAGGATAAGGCCATACAAAAATAAATGGGAGGAAAGTATTTTCTCTGCTCTGGCAAAGTGTGTACATTATTTAACAATTTATGCATTTTAAATAGGTCTTGGTATCGCACAACATAAGCCATAGATGCAAGCAGCATTTGTTTGATAGAGTGTTTGTATGTAACGGCCACTACACTAAGCCGCAATACCCGAAAACTGTAGGTATGAGCTGTTATAAAGGCATACAAATGCACAGTCATTTATATCGCACACAAGACAAATTTAAAGGTAAAATAGTTGTTCGGTTTACCGCAACCTTTTTTTAATCACAGCGTCTTATGTTAAGCCCAAAAAGTTTTGATAATTGGTGCTGGACCCAGCGGAATCGATTTAACCAATCACATTAGCAAAGTGGCCAATTGCGTGTATTTGAGTCATCATTTATCTAAAAAGCCAAACACCGATTTCATGAGGAACGTTATACAAAAGCCTAATGTTAAGCAATTTATTGAAACAGGAGCCATCTTTGAAGACAATAGCTCGGAAGAATTTGATATAGTAGTTTACTGTACCGGTTATCAATATTCTTTCCCTTTTCTTAGCAGTGAATGTGGTATCTTTGTGCACAATAATCATGTCCAACCTTTATACAAGCATTGCATAAATATCAATTATCCGACAATGGCAATAATCGGTCTACCTTACGCTGTAATACCATCCCAAGTATTTGACTTGCAAGTGCGATTTTCTTTGAAATTTTTCAAAAATGAATTAAAGCTCCCGAGTCGAGAAGATATGTTGACCGAAATGGAGAAAGATAACGAAGAGCGGCAAAAGGATGGTTTGCGAGAACGTGATGCCCATAGGATGGGTGCTAAACAGGTAAGTAAGTAAAGCGAAAAATTGCAAGTGAATATAATATATCCTAGCATTGGGTTAAACTTGAGTAATCTAGGTAAGCAGGTAGTCTAGCGAACAGAAGAAGAAGAAGACATGTACGAAGTTTACTATTCTACTCCTCTGGAGCATTATATCTAATCCATTGTTCTCATATTCAGGATAACCTACTTTCCTACTTACCATATAATGGGGGAGTGATTATCCTACCTAACCTAATTCAATTTGAAAATCGTCTTTTTTTCTCTCATATTAATTGAAAACTGAGTTTACATTAAAGAATTCCTACCATTCGATGTTGGTGATGACAAAAATATGAATTGGAGGGTTATTTACAACTTCGCATAACATAGCGAGCGATAGAAGGAAAAATCCATGGAAATGTTCGATAATGCGATTCTAACGAGTTTATTATTATTATTATTATTATTATTATTAATTTCGCCAGAGAAATAAATTCTAAGACTAAACTCTTAAAAGCACTAGCATCTAAGGCTATCG